CACTAAATGGTCTTGAAACATTTTCACAATTACTTTTTATTAATGAAGATAATTATGTAAGAAGTTTATTGACCAAAAACTTAAATAAATATTTCAATTTTTTTTCATAGTTAGCAACAAATGCTTCAATATATATTCATGATTGGCCTCGTTTTCCATATCGTGGTATTCTTTTGGATACAGCTCGTCATTTTCTACCTGTTCCAATAATAAAACAACATTTAGTAATTCATTTTCCATCAAATCATATCGTCAGATCTAGTTGCTTTGTTTTTCTCTACAGGATGCAATGGTTTACAATAAATTTAACGTTTTTCATTGGCATATTACTGACGATCAATCATGGCCATTTGTTTCTCGAAGATTTCCACAATTAACTGACAAAGTTTAACATAATTTTCTTTTTTATATATTCTTTTGTACATGTAAATTTTTCTAGGGAGCATTCTCATCTGCTCATGTTTATACACCTGACGATGTTCAAGATATTATTGAACATGGTCGACTTCGTGGCATTCGTATAATACCTGAATTTGACACACCAGGTCATGTTGCTGCTCTTGGACGTGCATTTCCTGGTTTGTATTCATATTTTAGAATTTTACTTATTATCTTACGTATTTTTGTTTTAAATATAGAGTTTTTAACTGACTGTTATAATGGTTCAATACCATGTCAAGCTATATATGGTGTACATGCTGAACGAGAAATTCTTGATCCAACAAAAAAGGAAGTTTATAAATTTATGAATGAATTTTTAAAAGAAGTTAAATATATTTTTAAATACGAACCATATATACATCTTGGCATGGATGAAGTTTATCCAGCTTGTTGGTATGATTTTGAAATTAAATATAAAATATAATTTCTTTTTTTTCCTTTTTTTTAATGTATTGAAGGATGTCAAATCCAAATATTCAAAAATTTTTAAAAGAAAATAATATGTTTAATGAAACAGATTTAATGGCTTATTATTCAAGACAAATTCTTAAATTAATGAAATCCATGGGTGGCAAATCAATGGTATGGCAAGATGTATGGGATGATGGTGTTAAATTACCATCAGATACTGTTATTGAAATATGGAAAGATACTTCACTTTTATCTGATAGTCCATCGTGGTCTTATTATTTATCAAAAGCTACGAGTGAAGGATATGATGCTGTTCTTGCTGCTCCATTTTATTTAAATATGTAAAAAAATTAAAAAGAAAAGTTTTGCTTTTGTTTTTAATAAGATTGTTAATGTTTTATTAGGATTAACTATGGTAAATATAATACACCTGAATCGGTAATGAATTTAGAATTTTTTAAATGGTACAATATTGATTTATTTGCAAATTTTACTGGTAGAAAAATAAATTTGCATTTTATATTGATAAATAAAAAATATTTATTGTATTTCAAGGTGATAATATTGCACGACAGCGATTAATTGGCGGTGAAGCTGCACTTTGGGCAGAATTTGTTGATGGTACTAATAGTTTATCTCGTCTATGGCCTCGTGTATCAGCTGTTGCTGAACGTTTATGGAGTTCAATTGATGTAAATAATCCAGAAGATGCTCAATTTCGACTTGATGTTCATCGATGTCGAATGCTTAGGTTAGAAAATAATCAATTGCTACACATTGACTATGTTTTCATAGCAATCATAGATATAAATTAATCATTTTAATACTACGCTCAATTCTATGTACACAAGAAAAAATAAGAGATTTGCATAAGAAACAGCATTGCTTGACATTTTAAGATCAGAGAGAGAAGCAAGCAAAGATATCTACACTATTTAGTAATAGTGAGGCCATGGCTTTTTTTTGTCGTAGTTAGTGCTTCAGTATCCAACTGTAATTATTTCAGTTCGTGAGAAATATTTTCATAGTCATTTATTATTTTCATTCATTTTGACGGCTGTCGCTTATATTTTGTTTTATTTATCATAGCATCAAAATAAGGTTTACATGAATTTCGGTCCAGGGAATTTTCGGCCCGGGCCTAAATTCATCTCATCAATTCCTAAAAAAGGATGCCATTTTTCTCTAACTAGTGGATACATTCCGTGGTGCTGAGCAGTACGACTTAGTGCTGAGCAAGACGACGTAATGCTGAGCAGGACGACGTAATGCTCAGCACTACGTCGTACTGCTCAGCAGTCTCATATAAACTGTATTAGAAGTATTGTAGCCTTGCGAAATAACTATTAATTCATGACAACAACTGTCAAAATAAAACTACAGTGCTCAGTAAGACCGCTAAGTAACGCTTTCCTAATCTACTTTCAATTATTTAATATTCCTATACAAATGTTGATAGCTTTTTGAACTCTTCGACATGTCTGTTAACGTGAATTTACTTGTTTATTACGATGTTCTTTTTTTCATAGATTAAAATACAAAAAAAACCTAAAGATGACTTATACGTTTAATAAATAAGTAGTGTTAGATCAAATTTGTAATACATTAAAAAACTTTTATAGCTTTTTATCTTGAAATCTCACGAGAAAAATTTGATAGAAGTCCATTAAACGCTCTATCGACCATGCGCACATATTCTTGTTTGTCTATTCCTGGTGTTGTCAGTTATCGAGTCATTTGTTCAGTAGTCTAACCACAATTTTTTAATCTATAGCTCGAATTAAATCTCAACTATATAATGTATACGCTACGTTTTGTCTCCTAACACACTGGACTGTCTTTCGAAATGCAGTAGGCTTGATAGAATGCTATAACTATAAAGTGATGTAAAATTACCCTGCTCAGCACTATGTCGTACTGTTGAGCATTACGTCGTCCTGCTCAGCACTACGTTGTACTGCTCAGCACTATGGAAATGTGCTAACTATTCATTGAAGCTAGACTATTTTTTATTAACAGCAGTGAGATGAATTTCGTCCCGGGCCGGATTTCCGGTGATATTTCGGCCTGGGCCGAAACGCCGCCGGAATTTAGGCCCGGGCCGAAGTTCCAGGCCGAAAATTTCTTGGCCCGAAATTCTGGCCTCCCCAAAATAATATGAACCCATGATAGTATAATCATATTGAGAATGATTTTAAAAAAACATTTTGATATTTTGTCAGTAATGTTGATCATTATTAAGAAGCAAATAAATCTTATGTTGTGTTAAGCTTTGATTGTTTCACTTCATTTATTACAAACTTTACAGTGTATTTCATTAGATGCAAAAAAAATTGTACTAAATTCTCTACTAGCTTATGTAGAACATGTGAGTTTCATATTTCAGCTGCAAAAGGGCTCGCGCTAACAAGCTTTCCTTTTCAGTTCACATAGTATTGATTTTCATTTATTTATATCGTAATGTATGCGTCAATGACTTCTTATGTATCGACATTGGACACTGATCTTCGAAAAGTATTTCTATAAATAAACAAAACAACACATTAATTTTTGCTTTGAGAATTAAATTTTAAGATAAGAAAATTATTATTTTACCATAACGAATCCATAAGCTAAAATAAAATTCTTCATTTTGTTTTCGTCGCAACATAACAAAGCTTAAAATTACAATGTATTTATACTTTATATATTATCTATGGAGTATGTGTTATTCGAAGACAGATGACTATCGAGAAAAGAATAGTTCTCAAAAAGCACAAGCTTAAACTGTTTTTCGTTTTCTTTTGTTTTGCCCGAAGCTTGCTTACATAACCTAGATTTCAATTGAGAACACTAGCGAAATCTACAGCTTCCGAGATTCAACTGAACTTCAATTAAAATGAAACATAAGTTAATATATATATATATAAGATCAGTTATTTATTATCATATTTTTCCATGTTTTATTTATTATGAAATTTTTTAAAAACTATTTAATTTTACCTAACAAAAAAATATCAAATAAAACTTCGATAGAATAACGAAAATTTTTTAATTTACATTTTTATTAATTTTGTTTCAATATAGACGTGGTATTCCAGCTGCACCAATACTTAATGGTTATTGTGGTTCATATGAAGTAGGAATGAAAAATTCCATGGTTAATGAACATATTTTTAATTATATTAATTGATATACATATATATGTGGATGTTTATTTTATGGTTTAATAAAAGAACTTAATGGATATAATAATGCAGAACAATTTTCATAGATAGAATTTGAGTTTTTATTAATAAGATTTTGAATATGTTGTATCCATTGAAAATCAGGTAATGCAATAATTGGAAGATCTTTGCAATTTGCTTCAATATATTTAATATATATTTTTAATCGATTTTGATCTTCTGTTAAATGATTAGTCCATGCGGTTTGACTATGTGCATGATATAAAAATTGAACAAGAATTTTATCAATTCGATCTATCATATCCATAAATTCAGATTTAATATCATTATGATGATGTTTGATTAAACATTGATAACAAAACCAAGTTAAACAATGAGAACATTGATAAGAATTAATTAATTTTAATTCAGAAGAACATTTACATTTAATGAAGGAATTAGTTGAAGGCATTGTATACTGAATTATTATTTTTTCTTAATACCAATATATGTCTGACATATACATTTGGTTTTGCTTATATAATATTCAAAAAGCGACCTCTCTAGCACTGAATTGTCATTGCAATAATTGCTGTGGGAGAAAACCTATTACGAAATAAAGGAAGTAAAAATTCCTATCATGATAATGATGACGCCTTTCGTAAGTAGGAATTAACTCATGTCGTTATGTATTAGTTTCGCAATACAGTTTTTGTTAAGACATAATTTATTTTTAGATCATAATTTAAAAAAACATATTAATAAATAAAAGAAATATTTCACTGTCAAAAAAAAAATGCGTCAATATTCATTTCTATTTTCTCGCTTCATTCTTAGAAAAGAAAAATGCAGAATAGTACATAATGAGAAGGATATAGGTGGATTAAATCCATTATATAATAATTAAAAAATAGGAAAATAAAAGGAATAGTATACATTTCATTAAAAGTTATTTGTCAGAAAATTCTTTATTCACAAATCAATTAAGACACATAAAATGTATCACATCCAAGGTGTTGGACACGGTGGATTAATCAATGATTTAGCACGATGCACATTATGATTAGAATTGCTCGCACGGCTTAAATCATGTGAACGTATTGATGGTGTACTGGAAAAAAAAGATTTTTTTTTTGTATATGTTTATTTAAAAGAAAAAACAAAAACTTACTAGCGTCCTTTAGGTGATTGAGATTGTCGAGCAAAACTTAAAGGTGTTGTTGTCATACGATGACTTTCAATACAAAAATCTTGAAAACTTTCTGGTCGAACTCCTAAGATAATGTATAATTAATCATATTCTGAATGTCAGAAAAAAAAACAAAAGCTTTACCTTTATAGTGAGCATGATCTCTTGATGACGGGGATGTTAATGTTGGTACACGTGGCATTCTAAAAAAAATTAATAAAATAAAATTATCAATAAATATCCTACAACGTACGTATAAGTAGCGAATGGTCGAAATGATCGACGTACAAGTGAAGCAACAACTTTTTCCATACGACCTGTTCGTTCATTTTGCATATCAGGCCCATTAAACCATTGTGAAGCATTATGTACTGGTAGATAAACACGATGTGTTGCTGATCGTCGACCATTAGTTGGTGTTAAAGGAACAGTAGATGCATGTTCGAGCATTGATATAACACGTGATGGTTCGTAATCATTCATAGTTGATGAATTTGTTCGTTGTTGTGTTTGTTCAAATGATACAATGGGTACATGAGGTTGATTAGGCATAAGTAGAAGCATTGATTCAATAAGAACTGGTGATGTAGAAACAGCTTCACCATTAATAGAAGTTTTTATCTGTTCTTGTTTTTGTTTTATTATACGAACAGACATTGGACGTTCAAATGACAGTCTTCGAAGAAAAAGAAAAAAGAATTCACATAAATAAATGAATAAAACAAGATAAGTTTATCTACTCTTCTGGTGTAAACACTTTACGCTCAATTATTGGAGAACTTGGTGGAGGAGAATTTGATATTTCTTTAGAATGATGAATAGTTTCTTGATTAATAAAAAGAGTTTGTGGGGAACATTTCGATATTTCTTGAGAATTACGAGTTGTTTCTTGATGAATAATAGGAGCTAATGGAGAAGGCGTTGTTTCACGTGGTGCATCAATAAATGCTTCTCTAGATTTTGAAAAAATAATAAATATATGATTAAAGAAACAAAGAAGATTAGATGAAATATACTTTGGTTTATTGAGATCTATATTTAGAAAAAAAAAGACAATCTATTGACTGAAATTGAAAAGAAAATTAATAAGACTTACTCATTTCAAAAAGTTTTGGTGTAACACGTCCTTTTTCAATAGATTCTGGTGTCTAATTAATAAAAAAAAAAAAAAAAGAAAATATGTCTTAAATTTATAAATTAATTATCTAAATGCACACTTTAGGTAGTATTGCTCTTGGCAAAGGTGAAGGTGGTAGTTGTGGAGGAGGAATAAATCGAGGTGTTTCACTTCGTATTGTTGTCATTTGTAATGTTATTTTATCACCAGATGCAAATTTTGGTTTCCAATATTCATGTGAGGGATCCCATTCAAAATTATTCATATTAACATAAGTAGTATGATCAGATGCTGAACTACTACTGATCATAGCACCATTAACAGCAAGAATGTGATCAAGTTGAATCATTGCAATTTCTGTATCAGGTAATGTTACAATACGACCAAAACTTTGTGGAGCAGTTAATATACGATCACCAATAGCTGAATAATAAATATAAAACTTTTTCTTTGATTTTATAAAGAGAAATGTTAACAAGATTATCTTTTTTGTATTATTATTAAAACAGAAAGATGAAAAATAAGAGAAATACAATAATATTTGCTAGGTTTTTTTGTTCAAAAGCTTTTCGTGATGAAATGATACATCAAGTTGTTTTTTATAGATGGAATAAATTACGAGAAAATAATATGTTATTTTTTTAAAGTTTGATAATTAAACAATTTAAAGACAACATTTGGCTGTTTTACTCAATGCATGATCTCATGTTAGTCTGAGTATAAACCCGCTAGGTCAGTTTGGATTCGGATATGATCTCACACTAGAATCCGACTCGTCAATTAATGAGGTCTCGACGTTTAGGATTTCTTTTAACTTTTTTTAAACTGCTAATTTATATAAAAGCATAAGAGTAAAAAATGATTCGATTATGACTGAGCAATTTCTTGGTCGTGAGAACAGATCATAGAAGTGGAAAGGGATTTTTTTTTTTGACTAAAAGAATTCATTTTTGATGAAAACTTATCTACAGATGATGATGATGAACCATATGACAAAGTAACCGAATATATATGCAGAGGAAAATGAATGATTAAAAAAGTGAACATGTATTATCATAATGGATAAAACATTCATTTATATCTATTCCTAATTACAACGTTTGACATCAACACTACATTCCATTGCAGCAGCAAGCAAGCGTATGCACAGCGAAATTGATCAAGTTTTAGAAGTAGAAAGATATCAAGTGAATTCTGAATCATTTCTTCTTTTATGGAATTTGAGATCATCTCTTTTCTTTTTTTGCTGCTTATGAAAGAAAAGAAATAATATACTTTTTCATATAAAAAAAGTTTAAAATCGTACAGGAATTTCAGACTGCAGATCTATAATTGCTTAGGAATGTTCATTTTATAATTCAAATGTATCCGACATGGATAAGTTAATTCAAAAACACAACTGGACATCTCTATCATTTAAACTTGCGTATATACATATCTAGATTAATTTCAAAGATGAAGATTTACCCGGTACACGATTAGCATTTGCACGTTGTGAAACTTTCGGTGATAATATAGCTTGTTCTTGTAATCGTTTATTTGAATTTTCAATTTCCTGTGTTGACGTATCCTACTCAATGAAATACATTAAGATATTATTAGAATAATAAATGTTTTTTTTTTTATTTTAAAATATTACTTGAACTGCTGGTAATGATTCATTTATTTTTTTTATTCGTTTAGTGGATAATGTTCGAATAGCCATCTTTAATATATTACCTATAATTGGACTTAATAATTCTTTTTGTTCTTCACCTGTTTTCTATTATTAAAAAGGAAATAGAAATATCCATTGATTTATATCGACTTTGATTTTCTTACTTGATCAGCATTAAAACTTTCTAAAACATCTCTAATACTTCCATATGCTGGTGATCGATCTAATGCTTGTTTTAAAATAGAATTTACATCTGACGGAAAAAAAAATTTCAATCTTATCGAATTAAATAGTTTCAGTACATACGTGCATTATCAATAAGTGTATAAAATGATGGGCACATAATTAATACTTGCATAACTTCAAGACAAACCATTGATTTTGCTTCCGAAATTCTAAAGATATTAATATAGAGAAATTATTTATATTTCTAATCTTTTTGTTTTGTTTTTTACAATCCAGAATTTGGATGAACTTGATTGGTATTTGAAGAAGATAATTGTCGTACTTCATTTGTAAGAACAACTGAGATACTATTAAAAAGTTTATCATAAAATGCCGATGGCTAAAAGAAAAAGAAAAAAAGTTTGTGATTTAAAGAAAAATAAATAATAATTTACATGATTTTCATCTCGATCAAGTCGTGCACCTGCATGAACAAGAGATGCAATCATACATTTTAACTGTTCACTTGATGTAAATATATTAAGAATATTTAAATTACTAAATAAATATACAGTTATACAAATATTTATTTAATATAAAAATAGGTCTTGTTTTCAAATACCCAATAGTTTTTATATGAGTAACATCTAAAACATTATGCAATAATTCACCAGGAAGTTGAAAAAGAATATCAGTCTGTTGAAAATAACAAAAAAAATCTATTAAACATTTAATTCAATATTGTGCTAGACAAAGACTGAAAGGAAAAATATCGAAAATTTTACTTCATGAGACATTTTTTATTTTTGACATTATACTAACATTGTAACATATGCCATACATATTGGTAGTAGAATGTTTGAATTCTAGCATAGGCTCAATATTTTTTATAAGATCTTCATTTGGAAGTTAAAAGTGAGAGAAGATGATATTTTGAATACCATTTAGATGAACTACAGTTAGTGTATCTTCTGTTGAACTTACATTTTAGAACGTGTAACGGTGATGCAGATCAGAAAAAAAAATGGTACTTGTGTAACGAGATGCAACTTTCGAAAAACGTTTTATGGCAAAGCTGAAATGTTTCATATAAAAAAAAGATCCTGCATTATGAGCTTTTTCACTGTTAAAAATGTTTCATAGGTATGTAATCTGAGTCGCTAAAGGTTTCCGTTTCATGTCATTGCTGATGTATGATGTAATATTTACATGTACAAAACTCAATGTTTCCTCAAAAACGTTTTTCAAGTCTGTCTCGTTAAAAAAAACGTTATTATTAACTTTCATGGGTGGCAAAAAATATTGGTATTTGTACAAAATATGTGATGCATTGCTCAAATCTATTAATCTGATAGAAAGAGTAAGGTGCTTGAGCTTACCCTAGCCTACGATGTGTGAATCTAAGATAAGGTTTGGATTATTTAAGTCTTGTGGCTTCGCTGCCTATAATCGTACATAAATTTAAAAAAATAATATTGTCATTTTTTCTGTTTAGCAACTATCGATGACAACACATATAAATATTTCATTACATTTATAAGATCATCATAATATTGTTCATCAAGATTATCTATACGATATTGGATAGCAATTATTGTGCTCTTACATCAATAATAAACTATAGAGGATTCGAATCAACATTGACTGAAGACATACTTTTTTTTAAAAAATTTTCTAGCTTTGATATTTTTCTCTTTCGGTCATTCAATTCAATGATGAAATTATGTTTTACTTACTATAAGTAAAATAAGAAGCATATTAAATTGTTCGATATGTGTTTGTCGAAGATCGATCATTTGCGAAAGCATATGACGATTTTCTGTGAGAAATTCATCATGTTTTCTAATTAAACGTATATATTAAAATATTTTTCTTTTCTTTTTTTGTTAAATATTTTCGTACTTTTCATCATCATATTTCATTTCTGTAAGTAATAAATCTTGAATAGTATAAGCTAAATGTTTTATTCGTTTTCTATCAAGATCTATATCGAACAAAAAAAAAGTTTTATTAGAATTATTTATAATTTCTTTCTACCTGAATTAACAAAACAATTCATTGGAAATCTAGCAAATAATTCAGTTGCCTATGAAAGCAAGAAAACATAATAAAGTTATTTTTAATAAGTTATTTAAATATTATGCTGACTTTCACTCCAAAAAGTCCATTAACTGGACGATCTTTTAAATTTGTTGGCATAAATATATCACGTGCTAATTTTCGTCGCTAGAAGAAACAGATTCAAATTCGGAGATTTTTATGGAATTTTTTATATATCTTACAACAGGTTTTTGTGTTAATGATGATTGTGTAAAAAACTCATCTACTTGATTTCGTTCAGCAGCTAAAATTAAATCGAGAACAGCAAGATTTGTTTACTTTATTCAACAGGATTTACTTGATACAAAAACTCCATCACACATCCAAATTCGTGGTAAACAATCTAGTACATGTTGACGATCTATATAAATGAATTAGACAATTTTTTTCAAGGACAATATTCTTTTCTTCTTTTATTACAATTTGGATCAGCATCAAGAGTAGTATTTCCATCAAGTCTTAAATCAAGAATAAACATATGACGAATATGTTGTAATTCGATCCATGTTAAATTATTATTTGAAAGAATAAGTGAACCAAGTGCTATAAAACGTGATAAATGTTGAAGACTACGAATCTAAACGATTGGAAAAAGGAACGAAATTTAAAGAAAACATTATTTTTCAATCAGAATGTTCTATACTTGATTATTTCCGACGTCAAGTTTCCACAAATGTTTTATATGTTCAACGCCGGCTAATGTTGTCAATGAATTACTATTACAAATAAGTATTTGTAAATGCTCATATTGAGGCACTTGAAATAAAGTGACTAGAAAAGATAATAACAAAAGATTATTATCAAATACCAACGGAAAAAAAACATTTCTTCTTGAAAAAAGATTTTCATACGTTTCAATGTCATAAATAATCCAATGATACTTTTTCGAAAATAGTATTCGTTAAACTTGAATTTTATTTGATTTGTCTGTGCATTTCAAGGATACAATTTTGCCTTATATTTTTATTCTATATTGATTCTCAAGGATGAATTGAATACTATAAATTTCATTTTCATCAAGGAATAGTGAACAATTATACTCAATATATTCGGTATTCTATTATTTACTTCAAAAATTTGATTCAATTCTAATTAAAATTCGATATATTTATCTTGATTAAGAAGAATTTTTAGTACAGTAATGAATACATCAGACAGGTTAAAAAAATTGTCCTTGTTGTCGGCTTCGATCGCTTTTTCATTTACAAATTCTCAATATTTATTTGCATGTAAATGTACTTTGACACTTTTGATTTGGAGAATTTATGATGTGTTTATTCTACAATCTTGATTCGACAGATTTTTTGTTCACTTTTTTTTAATAAATGACATACACTTGAATTCAATCAATTCACTCAATCTATTAAAAATCATTTTTAATGCATAAGAAAACTTAAGAATAAATCTTTTACACTTCAAATAAAGACAAGAAAATAGGAACACTTTTAAAAGTTTCGCATAAGCCATTTTAAGCGTCCGAAAAAAAAGGAGAAGAAATATGTTAACTACATGAAAAAACATATTGCACAAAGTTATCTTAGATGAGTTATTAATTTTCATGATTATGAAGGAAAAACAACAGGAAATCAAAATTCATTCTTGGATTTGAGTTCATTCATATATTTGTTTAATCACAACTTTAAACAAATCCCTATATAATTTAATTTTACTGCTACTATTGAGTTTATTGACATATAATAGTGAGAATTCAATCAACAAGCTAATTTCATTTATATAGCTTCATTGATTAAGATTACGGTTAATAATTTTCATAGTAAAAATTTAATCAAATAGTTCTGCATAATTAAAGAAAAATATTCTTACTTATTCTTGTATGACTAAAATTTGCATAATCACTCTTTTCTTCACGATGATTGCTTCTATGCAGTGGTGCCTAGAATTTGACAAGAAATGATTTTAATAATTAAAACAAGAAAAGAAGTTACATTTCTTCTAATCAAACTTACTCGAATAGTAACCTTCATTGATATGTATTAATCATGATAAATTAAAGTGATTTGAAGAGTTTAAAACAAACTACAATGGTAATAAAGAAGAAAAAAATGCACACTTGTCAAGTATGTTCGGACAAACAATGAATACTATATAGTATTTGACAAGAATTTCTTTTTTTCTCTCTCTTTTTCCTTCTGGCTCTCTCTCTTTTCTCTTCTGTTCACTTTTACAGTCTTCATCACTCTCAAAATCGAATTTCTTGATCGACTAAATTAAATAGAATCGTGCAAACAATAACAGCGGTTGTATGCACTATTATTCCAATGAATCAGCTGGTTTCGTCTATGTTAATGAAGAGATATATACATCTTATAAAAATTCCATTTACAAATTTCGTTTCCTAGTAACAACCTTCTTTTTACATTTTAAATAGAAGAAAAATAAATATATTTACATCAATGATTCTACGACTATAGCGCTTATGGAAAGATTCGCTAGAAATTTTGCAATAGATTTTTAATATATAAATTATACATACAAGAATTTCACATGTTGAAAAGAGAATTCATTTATTTTAATTTAAATTATCAATCGAAGAAATTTTTAATCTTTTTTCAAATCGATTTAATTGTCGTTGAAGAGAAGCTAGATCATCAAATATTTTATTTAAAGTAATCGATTGTTTTGTTGGAAATGTCGAAAGAAAATTATTATGAATATATGTTAGATGATCTTTGATTTGAAGATCAGATAATTGATGTAAAAGTTTAAAATTAGGAATTTTTCCACGAGATATATAATCTTGAAGCATTACTTCATAAAAAGTGGTCAAACGTTGATCATTTGCTAAAATTTAAAATTAGAAATGATACATGCCATTCTCGTCTTAAAATTAAACATGTTATTCCATATCTATTTTCTATCAATAATATAGATATGAATATATTATATACCGATTCCTAATAAATTGAAAACAGCTGTTTGATCACCTACGGATTTGATATATAATGCACTAACAATTCTAGTACTAATATCCTCATTTTCATTGAATAATCGATGCATACAACGTATTCGTCTGAGACAACGTTCTGGTCGAGTAACCCAACTCGGTAAATGATGTTTAGTGAGTGCATAGAGAAAGGCATCGGTAAATGTGTTACAATTGAAATGTAATAATTTATAATGAACACCCATAAAAGCTAGGTCATGTGCTTTTGCTTCGATATCTATACTAGATAATAGTGTATGTCCATAGACTTTACTATAAGCTAACATCATGGTATGTTTGTTCGGTGTACCAGACATAACACCACTAAAATGAAATGGATGACCATAATAAGCATATTCAGAACCTTCAATTTCAATAGCTGAATGGTAAGGAGTGAATAAACCTAATGTTACTAAATTAAATATAGTATGAAGTGAACGGTAAGGTGTTAAATAGTAAATATTGAGCCGAATAGAACGCCTTGATGATTCTGTAGAATGTGAGACCATGGATAAATGAAGCAAAACAAGAAAAGAGCAGCGCCAAATATCATGAAATCAATTAAAAGTGATTATTCGTTATTTTATTAAACAAAATTGAAGTTAATTTTTCGACATTTATTCGATTTTCTTAAGTTATTTGTTAATGCCAACAGTGTATTTATATATTTAGAGAAAATAAATTAATACTATTTTAATTTGATTTGTTAGAATTATCAGAAAAATATACCTTTAAAGCGAAGATAGGTATGAGCGCTTTCGATTTTATTTAAAATAATATTTTATGTCTTTGGTTAGATGAAAGTAATAAGCATTGACTCTGTTTTGTTTGGAAGATAGCTCAAAAATAATATGATTATTTCTTGAGGATTTCTTTGCTAATAATTTTTATGAGATGGGATTACATAAGATTATATTGCATTTCTATCGAACACATTTGATAGAAAATATATTAGGTTTGCTTTTGATACACGGATTAACAGAAGTATACATTTTCTACAAAAAAGTCTCTAATCCCTTCAAAATTAATCATTTTTATTGGAAGATAGAATAACAGCAAATATCCTGAGTACACTATTTACTTATCTTTCTGTTCTTTAATTTAATATTATCTTTTCATATTATTCAATTCTAATTAAGGAATAATTTTGCACACATCTTCAAAAACCTATCTTCTTCCGATTCAATTTAAACATTTAATAGTTAATTTCAGCAGTTGTTAACTAAAAAAAAGAGCAATTACATGATATTGTTTTTTTTTATTCACCCACGTTATATTCAATATTCTCTTTCTTTGCTAAAAAAGAACAATCGAAATAATTAATTAGCCAAGTCATGTTTCAATAGCTATGAATACTTATAAAATAATGCGTGAGATTAAATAGATGTTCGTCGAATTTCTTTAATTTTCACCATCCTTGTTCAAAACAAATCAGCTAGAATAAATTAAATTTCTCTTTATTTAGAGATACGAAGAATCAAGAGACAATTAAATATTTATTAAAATGAACTAATACCTATATAAAAATTTCTAAATCATCCTGTTCTCTCTCTTTATCTATTTTCTCTATACAAAAATTGTATTTCTTTTGAGAATAAGTCCAATAAAGAGCAAATTGTTGATTTTGTCGAATGCGTCTTTTGATGAAATGGAATGCTAAGAAGAATGTTTTTTTTTCAGTAGGAATCAAAATAAAATAGCGTCGAATAAAATGAGAATAAGACTTTAAAACCAATATTGATGATAGATAATTGTCACTGATGGAAACACCGCATTTTCATACTTGATAATGATAGTTATTTTATTGCGTTCGGTTGTTTTCACTAAATATTGCATCTTCGCTTGCTGAATTTGAATTTAATCGTCCTAAATGAAAGCATTTTATGAAGTCTTACTCGTATAGATGATACAATGAACAAAAAACTAAGTTCAATGAAACTTCTAATCGATATTATAATGAATTCATCGATTAACCTTTTGGCTACAGGACTATCATATATGATAGTCCTGTAGCCAAAAGATTAAATTTATTTGATGTACATTAGTAGACAAAAGTCTCTGCCCTAGCAATCCTAGTCATCATAAGTGCTGGTGGCCTAAAAATTTGTGTGCATACACTACTTCACGAATGTAGATCAGTAGCATTACAGCGTCCAGATTGCTTAATTAGAAAGAGAATTGGGACGTGTAGCACTTATTTTTTTGCCTTAAACTTTATAGCCTAAATAAGGCTATTTAATGAATTTTATACTGTTTCTTATTAAATACATGACTAATTCTTGATATTTTTAATATGGAATTGAAGTCCGGTTTATGGACTTTCTTCATCTAAAAGATGAGTTCATTTTCTCGAATATTGGAGTCGCTGAGTCTTCGGAACTAACACCATGATCACTAATGTGCCATTTTGTCTTTAGTGCAAGATTCACTTCTGAAATGTGTAGACAACAATATGCAACTGTAGAGAAAGCTTCTCTAACAGTTTGAACTCCATTCAGTGAACTATCGCCAAGTCATTGATCTCTGAAGGACAGTAGATGCTTGTTCGTCATACCAATGGTCACAATAAAACGGTCATAGTTCTGAAAAGAATCAGCAGTACCTATGATCCAAAAATTGGCAATTCAAGTAAATCTCAGCAATTCAAGGAATTCAACATATCCATATATCTTTGAATTATATCCCCTGGAAGTACCATGGAATTCAAGGAAATCAAGCAATTCTAGAAATTCAAAGAAATTCAAGGAATTGAACCATGGTAGGTAGTAAGGGCGGGTGGGGATGTGGGTGCGCGGTGTGGATGTGAGTATTAAAGTTATCTCTTCTCCCACATCCACAACTCACCCACACCGGCACCCACACTCACATCCCACACTCACTCACCCATAGCCACCAAAATTTCCTGTTTCCTTGAATTTCATGATACTTTCAAGGGACATAAGTCAAAGTAACATGATGCGCTGAATTTCTTGAATTTCGTTCAATTGGTTCAATTTCCTTGAAATGCTCGATTTTCTTGAATTCCTTGATTTCCTTCAATTCCACGACTTTCATGGGATATAATTGAAAGTTATATGATGCGCTGGATATTGCTTTCAGTCCCTTGAATTGCTTTATTTTCTGGAATTTGCCAGAATTCTATCGTAGTGAAGGCGGGTAATCTAATATCTTATGTACGTGTGTTGGGTTGGTTGATTTTCTCGAATTTCCTTGAATTGCGAATTCGTGGATCCTAGGGGTATCTCAAAAGAATTGATGAGCTTCAATGAAATTAGTAATGTAGACAGATAGGCCATAGCTTTGCATAATGAGGAGTCGGCTGACACATAAGACCTTGTCTTTCCAGAGTCATAAATTCCAAAGTAGACGTAGGTAACATAGATCACAATTCCCTTTCTATTCAAGAAATCGAAGTGTGGGCGGCGTTACTGATCTTCATTCGTGAAGTAGTATATACACACAAATTTTCAGATCTCCAACACCTATGATGACTAAGATCCGCTAGAGCAGAGACTTTTGTCCACTAGAGTATATTTTACTTTTTGTGTTGCGAAAATATTTTATTTTGATGATCACTGTCGCATGATTCGTCGTCATCGAAAACTTGTAAATTTTTGCTTTCAGATATTCTACGCTTGACAGAGAAGCGAATGACGTTGATATCATTACTGAAATTAGAGAATATTGCTTTTTCTTTTTACCTAAAATGAAAGAATGAATATGGTTTTAAAATTGGCATTAGTTTAAGGGTAAATCGATATCAATTTTCTTCTTTTGCATTTAATAACATATGTTGCTGTATTCGTGAATTTGTAAGCGAAAAGGTTCATGAAAATCGTGAAAGTATCAACAAAACGATAAAAAATAAATCTATTTAATTGATTAATACAATGTCTGGATGCGTTTAGTAATTGATAGTACTCATTGATGTTTACATCTTTTGTCGAGTTTGTTTCGGAAATTTTCTAACAGTTTGTCAGGGAAAGCATCCAATATCTATCGATATATGCTCGTTCTCAAACGATTCATACGAACATCTTCGACCATCTCTTGATGGAGCCATCAACTATATGATTAGTATGAAAAGAAAACGAAAACATATTCGTGCTATAGTATCAAATATCATCGATTCAAGCAAATAACATATGTTTGACTCTCAGCCTCAAGCCCATGCACTATTCGATTGTGAAAATGATAAGAGAAACGGCTTAGTAGAACTTTGGCATTGCACTCTGTGGCCTGTGTCAATTTAAGGCGAACATCTGACTATTTACTGAATTTAATTGATATTTTTTTTTGTTTTGATCTTATTGAAGATAATACGTTGTTGATAAACTAGGCATCTATATATAAAGACAAGGCATAATCAGCTTGTAACCAGTATTCAATTGAAAAAAAAACAATTATCCAAATAATGCATACCTTCGTTTTCGTAATAGTAAAGCATGTAGCATATTCTATTTGTTCAAATAAGAATTTAATCTAACGATGCATTTTTTAGTTTTTCAAAGTACGTATTGCTCTTGCACCTATTCTTCATATCATGTGATTTATTTTCAATGAAGAAAATATGTAAAGTTTAAACATATGACATGTATCGTTTTTCTTTTGTTTAGTATTTTCCATATCATCATCTTCATTTGTTTCGTTAAATAATGAAATATGCAGGAAAGCAACATGAAATCGTAATGGTGTTATAGTTGCTGGTGGAAACGGACAAGGATCTGCATTGAATTAACTTGCATATCCTGAAGGATTATTTGTTGATGATGATGGTGCTATCTTTATTGCGGATAGAGATAATCATCGTATCATGAAATATATGCCCGGTGCTTCAAGTGATGAATTAGTTGCCGGTGGTAACAAGCCAGGCAATAATAGTAATCAACTTAATACATTGACAAAGGTTGTTGTTGATAAACATGGAACTATGTTCATTTGCGATCGTATCAATAACCGGGTGCAACGTTGGCCTAAGAATGCTAATAAAGGAGAAACAATAATGAAGAACATAACTTGTTGGGGATTAGCTTTGTATATATCCGATATGGAAGGACATCAAGTTATTCAATGGCCTCGAAATCGAATTGTTGCAGGTGGCAACGGAAAAGGTAATGCCTTGAATCAATTGTCGCATCCTTGTCACATATTTGTCCAACGAGATCAATCGATTTTTATTGCTGATAAAGGCAATAAACGTATTGTCAAATGGACAGGAGGTGCAAATCAAGGAATTGTTATTGCCGGTTTAAATGATTATGGCAATATGGTGTTGACCAATTATATAGACCATATTCTGTTGTTGTTGATCAAATGAATACGACTTATATTCTTGAATACATCAATCTACGAGTAACACATTAGTTTGAAGGTGAAAAATTGAGCAGTATCATTATTGGTGGACAAGGTTGGGGTCTCGGAGTAAATCAATTATATTTTCCACGTGATTTAGCATTTGACCGGCAAGGAAACTTGTACGTAGCTGATGGCAACAATCATTGCATTCAAATGTTTTCAATAGATAAAAGTTCTTGCTAGCAGTATTAGTTTTACAACTCATTCAATGACAATCTTTTTCAAAATGAAGTTCAATCATCATCTATGAAAATTATTTTTAGTATTTTAAATAAATAAACTCAGTGGATATTTAAAAAAATCCATTGTCTTCATGTTATAATGAATCTTTATTCACTTTTAAGTTTGAAGTTTGAAAAGAAGCTTCAATGAGACTTCAGTGCATTCTTTATAAAACTATGCAATATGATGACAGAGAAAAAAACAATAAATAAACTCTATTTACGATAGATTTTGTTTTTCTACTATATATACAAACAGAATCGTAGATGTATAATCAATATGAATTATTAAATGTTAATTTGATAGATGCAAGCTCATACAATTATGTTCACTATGCCAATATATGAGAAAGAACACTTTATCTACATTATCATTTACTATAGAAAAATTCGTTACATACATTCGGATTATTTATGCAAAACTATATTCACTTAGAAAGTTTATACAAATACATACTGAAGTTTTCTTTACGAAATATATCCAGCATTTCATCCTTGAAAACATGTTATTCAGACGTAATGTCATTGGTGAAAATGTCCATCATCCTCAATTGTCATTTTGAAGTATTACGTTACTGGAACGTAGATAACACTAATACAAACATACTTCAGAAGAGTTGAAATACGTTATATCCACTCAAAATCGTCATTGAATAAAATGCACTCAATCCTCTTCGTGGACAATAAATGAACAAGTATTATTCATGGAGACTCCATTCACTTCCCACGGAAAAAAATTTGCAAAAAACCCGCGGTAGGCAACGGTATTAAAAACCGCGGTTTTAGTCGGTATTTTCAGATGCCGGGAGTCAGACCATCTATGCGTTTCTTCGAAACCGCTCAAAACCGCGGTTTCGAGCGGTTTTGGAGAAACGCATAAATGGTCTGACTACCGTTATATAAAAAACCACTTCAAACCACGATTTTGAATACCGTTGCTAACCGTGGTTTTTTTCGACACACTAGAGTGAACCGACTCTGGTACGCCGAACATAACCTGTAGATTGAAAGTTTCAGGTGTGGTGCCCTTCTAGGGGCAGTGAAGGCAACTCTCTCGAGCTCCATTTCCACAAAGTATCTTTGTAGAGTCAGATGAATTATCTGTTGAATGATCGAAAAATTTGGCAGAAAAAGTGGGGCACGACATCTTAGTTGTCCTTACACATTACTTCACATTTCGATATGCACCACGGTTTCCTGAATCGCGGTTCCGTTAGTGACAAACGCGGTTTTTAAAACCGCGTCTACCAGAGGTGTAGCACATCACGGTGGGGATACATGAAACCGCGGTTTCTGAAATCGCTACTAACCGCAATATAGAACTTTGCGATTGAAGGCAACTCTCTCGAGCTCCATTTCCACAAAGTATCTTTGTAGAGTCAGATGAATTATCTGTTGAATGATCGAAAAATTTGGCAGAAAACGCGGGGCACGACATCTTAGTTGTCCTTACACATTACTTCACATTTCGATATGCACCACGGTTTCCTGAATCGCGGTTCCGTTAGTGACAAACGCGGTTTTTAANAATATTTAGTTAAAATCATTAATGAAAAAAAAATCAGACGAGCATTATTAGACTTATGACTAGTGCGTTTATGATAGGATTAGAGATTTCTGAAGTTGTATATTTTGAACAAGTTCTTGCTAAACAAGTTAAACAAAAATTGCAGGGTGAAATAAAGAATTATGTTCGACGAAAAAGATTAGCTCAAGAAGGATGCTATATGAACCTTCGTGGTGAATCATTTTACGATCGAGGCAAAGAAGACGAGAAAGAATTGAAGTATAACTGTGTTTTTACAAGTATTATAACAAATATTGCACAAAGTTATGGTTTCAATTTATTTTGGATATCATTACATTCTATTTGTGAAAATATATTTTTTTTTGGAACGGCTTTTTCCGAACCTTCCCAGCTCAGATCGAGCAATCCGAAAGTCGGATCCTACAGGAAACCCCAGACAATCCGACGACTTCCGACAGGAATCCGATAAGAAGTTGTCGGATGTCGGGTCCGACAGTCGTAAAATCTCGGAAAGTGCAGGGTCCTATAGGAATACTGTAGCTAATCTAGATATTAATTACTTAGACGATTGATGCTTTATTCATTACCCTTTTATTTTCTCTAATAGGTTCTATAACTAGTCAAAAAAATTCCATCTCATGAAAATCTGCTGGAGCTTGCCGATTTTCATGACCTCGATATTCACTGTTGAATATCGATATTCAATTTGATCTAAAATAAATCAAAAAAATTCATTTAAAATAAATACTTACTGTTCAGTTTGGATGTTCAAATGATCTAAGATAAAGAAAAAAAATTATTAAGATAAATAAAATGCTTACTGTTCATTTTTAGATGTCCAAATTGACCTACAATAAAGAAAAAAATTCATTTATTTAAAAACAATACTTACTGTTTAGATTGCATGTCCAAATTGATCTAAAACAAATCAAAAAAGTTCACTTGTCTAAAATAAACATTTACTGTTCCTTTCGATATTGAAATGGATCTAAATAGAGAAAAAAGAATTATTTATTTGAAGTAAATACTTACTATCCAAATTGAAACTTCGAATGAAAAATCTAAATGAACAACCCATAAAATAAATAAAACCAATAAATAATTGATAATAATAATTGAAAAATGACAATTGTAGATATGCATCTATTAATTATATTTGTGTACTTTATTTCATTTAATAGTCGATCGGTGAGTAAAATAGACAGGAATTGAAGTTTATTTTCAGATATTTCTCTCATGTACTGAGATAGGTGGACTAAATAAGATCAAACATGTGAATAGATGTTAGATTAATAGGCTTAGAACATCGAAAAGATCGTTCGTGTCACATCCTCAAAGTGTTACATCAACAAAGAAGATCATCCTGTAATGGAAGACATCAATGATATGATTATACTCGCACGCAGAAAATCATTTGAGAAGTGATAGAAAATAATAGTGTTCCTTCATTTGATTTGGTATACGAGTGAAAGAACAAAATGAGTATGATCAATTTTGATCATTGTCAATACTAGTGATAAGAATGTCTTTGCAAAATATCTCATTTCTTGGAAAAGATTATCCTAATATCGACTGAAACGTTATCATCCAAGATACGATGTTTTATTACAATTCTAGAGATTCCGTCGAAAAGAAATGTGCTTTTTTTTCTCTGAATTCTATATTGATCATGAAGAAAATCTATATTTGATCACAAGTACAAAGATGAATAAATCTATCTGACGATGAATAACGAGATACTTTGATTAAATTTCTCGTGACAACATTCTATTGAGATGTAAAGATGAGGAAATGAATAAAAAGAAAAGATATGTGAGAATAATGGTTTCAATGATGTTTGCATATTATCTCCAAACAAGAACAAATCGTTGTTTCATCTAAATCAAATAGATAAATCTTTTTCTTTGTTATTGATCTTTTCATTAATTGTGTCTTCATTTTGTTTGGCTAATTATTCTACTTGTTCACATAAGTCATTTCATTTCGGTAGTGCACCTTCTTAACGAGGATGAAAATATCCTAATGGATTGAAATCAATCGATATCGAGACATGATCCGTTTTCGGATGAATAATAAATGGTGATTGAAGTAAATGGTTGATGCCTTTGGTTATATTCGCGTGAAGACGTGGATAACAATATTCAAACATAGTTTGATCAATAATCCTTATTTAAGCGGATTTACGATAATATTTCATAAGGATGAGAATGGAGCAAAGAAAAATGAGAAATTTGCTTTAGTACTGTTGGTTATTGGGTTGATCATTGCATTGGTGTGTTGTTCAAAAGTTACCTATCGTTCGTGTTGATCCGGTTAATTCTGAAAATATTTCACGTAACATTTGACGACGTCAACATTCAATGTAAGACAAATAAAATTTGTTTTCTTTGTTTTTTTTCCAAATGCAAAAGAATTTGATTATAAAAAATGATATTTTCTTGCAGAACAAGTTGAAGAAATCGTTCGATACGTTGATCATCAACAAGAAAATCTTCTTCTAAACATCTATTTCGATTAAATTCACTTCACGAGCACTTCGAAATGCATCATTCGATGATCAATATGCAAATATATTGTTTAATTTGCTGTAATGATGGATGCAATGGAACATATAAATGAAGACATTTTCATCAATGTTTCCGTTCCCTAACCAGGAAAAAACAAAATACATTAAGAAGATGAACGGGAAATTTTTAGTGTAATGCCGATGAAATGTTCTAGAAAAGGTTGTCGAATACTCGATTGGAATCTTTTTGCTATTTGGTGACAAATCGAAGAATGAAGAGCACGCCGTCCCGAATAGATCCATAAACAATGTTCAAAGACAAAATCTTATGAAGAGAAAAAAAAATGAATTCTTATTAATAAGTGATAATCATTGATGAAAAGTCAATCTAAGCATATCAAACACGATTGATTATTTACATGGCGAATCTAATCACTGTCCAACATTTCGAACAAATCTGAACACCACTCAAATATATGATTAGTCATTTCAGTTTAACATCAATTGAAAATATTTACTGACAACAAAATCGAACATGATCATGATTTGTCCTATCAATATCGAAGAGAAGTTGACGCTTAATCGGATGGAATTGCGTCGTAGATAACATTTGATGATATTTCGGTTAATTCTAAACTTGTCGATAGAATAGATATTTGAAGAAAAAAACAAATTTTACTGTGCCTGAATAAATAACAACAATATGA